CTGCATCCCTGCTTTGAAACTTACTGCCAAGAATATACATGAGTTGTCTCCTCATTACTCAGGTTCCTGAGTAAATACCTCACACCAAATACATGGGTCATTGTTTTGCACCAGTTTCCTCCAATGAATTATTATTTGTGTCTATATGTCCTATTATGGAGCCTCTGAACACTTTAATTTCTTATGATGCAAAAAGGTGTCATCTTAAGTTTGACTCATCTTGTGCTTATTGTTGAAAAAGCTGAATTAGTTTAAGTAGGGCACTAAAGGAAATATCACTCTTAAAAGAGGTTGTACTAATATATGCAAATATTTTACATAAAATCTATAGAGCTGAAGCCCTAACGTGTATTTTCTCCACACAGACTTTATTAAACAGACAAAACATTTTGAAGGTTTGTACAGCTCCTCAGACGTTTGCTTTCATCCCAAGGGTGCAAAAAGAATAGTAATAAATCATGCAGACAGCTGAAAACAGATAGGGGGATATCTTGTGACTGAGGATGCTGTAAAGAATTCAGATATGTAGATTCCCACAAGATACATCTGAAAAGCTAAAAATTTTTTGCCTCCCTGAACTCCCTTAAAAATCAAAAACAAAGTACAGTGATGAACATCCAACATCGTGTTGAAAGCCAGTTATCAAACAAGATCTACAGCTAGAAAAAGGGTAGATTGAGGAGTGTGCAGGGAAAACTGAAACTAAGGAAAAGGTACAACAAACATGTAGGGGGAATTAGGTAAGATTATTCTGAGACAGCAACAGTCAGGGTAGATTGAAGGAAATCCTAATTGTATCAATGGTTGGAAAAAATACATCTACAATGTACATATCTGTTTGGGAAGAGAGAAAAAAGGTAAATGACTATTCCACACAATTAACTGGATGTCTTGTGGAAAAAAGAAACAGGGATTTTGAAAATAGTTTATCTATCAATTTATATCATATCAATTCTCACTGAAAGTTGTGTTAAATACAAATCTTGAAAATAATTGTAAGCAATATAGATGAAGGTGGCATAACACTATATTTAAAGCACTCAGCATTACTGTCATAGCCGCACTTGATTTTGAGCGTGCCTAAGAGTCGTACAGTATACTCACTGGGGTTCTCAGTTTCCCTTTTTAAATTTTTCCTTAGGCAAATTCTGTTGGGAAACAATGCCCACACTTCTCAAATCACAGCAGTGCCTTCCAGCAGGAATCTTTAATTTCAGTCTTTGAGGTCGGGTGTCCTACACCTTTTGGATGTGATGTCTAAGTAAAAAAATCAGGTCATTTGCAAGATTCTATAGAACTGGAATGCATACTGAGGAGCTAATGCTGCCATTTTATTTAGTTGTGTGGAAGCTAAGAGACATTTAAAAGATACAGGTCAGTAGACTTGGAGAGCTGGAATTCAAGACGTCTGTTATAAACTACAGGTATGGGCAACTGCAGTCTTTGAGGCCCGGTGTTCTGCAGCTTTAAAATGTGTCCTTGGTCTGGCACACATCAATTAAAAGGTTGCATCACAGGAGGCAGGTTTTCCTGAGTCTTGGTGATCATTCAGGTGAGCTGGAGAAGGGAGATATCTAAAAGTGTCTGAACACCAGCCTTTGACGACTGGAGTTGCCCATGCCAATCCGGAGGCTCCCGTTATGGGCTTCCAGTACCGAAGCTTAGTTACCCAACGTAACTCAACTTAGTCTTTTAACTGCAAAACAGTTTTTTAGACTTTATAAAAGTATTTAAATTAATTTTAGTATTAAAGGATTTTCCCTCTGAAAAAGTAAATCATATTAAATGAAAAACAAGTGAACAAGGCCTTATCTAACAAATCAGATTTTTTTGTGTCTGATGATGAAATATTTTAACATTAAAGGTCATCTTTCATCAGTTCTAAGCACATAATCACCATAATTAACACGCGTGAAAGTATCAATTTCTGAATAATTATTAAAGTATTCGTGTCCTTCTGTACACGCTTGTCCAAGAGGAGCGAATTCTGAAAGTCAGTGGCTCCATGTTATCAGCTGGGTTTCCTTATATATATCATTTTTAACAAATCAGTCTGTATTGAACTGTCTCCAAATTGCCTTGAGATATGTGTTGTGAATGGGAGCTATTGTAATAAAATTAATTAACTTATTTTAGCTAGTAAATTAACTTATCAAATTAACTTATATAACTTATCACTGATTTTTAGATTATTAAACATCCCTGTATAGCTATAAAAAGTTAAGGAGATCTAAATGTCATACCTAATTTCTAATTTAGTACTGTAAATAGTGATTTTAAAATGTCTTTCTTGCCAGTTCGAAAGAGCAAGAGCAAACACACAAGTGCATACATCCCTAAAGCTCTACCTAAAAGGATCAGACATAGATAAAATCATGTTTTCATAGAGGGAAGTTAGTTCATTAAGTGAAGTTAGTTGCTGATGACCAATAAAATTGTTATGAAACGTTTTGTTTGTTATTTTCTTCATAAAATCTTTACTGTATTTGAGTGGACGCAAGCGATGGTTAACAGATTCCCTTATGGTCATTACATGATAATACTGACCTACAAAACTGACAATACAAAAATGGATGATGCAGATATGATGAATAATTCATCTGATAAGCTTAACAGTTTTAAATTGTGAAAATCTTTATTTAAATGGACAATGATGGCCCAACAGTCGGTAACCCCTAACATTGCACTGCAACCTGGGTTGTCGTGAGATCTTGGTTTTCAGTCTCACAACAAATCCATCTTGAAAGACTCTCAGTAATACTCTGTCTTGTAACAACCAGCCGGTTGGAGCTAAGACATGTCAGCAGTGTTTTGAGGGGCGGGACATGTAGGAATGATGAGAGCAAGAAGGGTCTTGCCGGGGCATTAAACATGGCTACGCTGGAGGACTCACCTGTCGATACTGCAGTTGCCTCAGTTTTACCTAAAATAGTGACAATTCCTCGTTTAAAACAGTAGCAAAGGGAAGCAATTGTGCATTTTTAGATGGGGAAGATGTGTTTTTCTTCTGACAGGATTTGGAAAAAGTTTGATTTATCAGCTTACTCCGCTAGTTGTGCAAACATCACGATTCGCTGCTACGACTGGCTGAAAGTGTATTATGGAAGGCGGATACTAGCTCGCTCCTCACCCAATCAGGTCGCAGTATTGTACTAAATGTCACTCCTTTTCACAGACAGACTGAATGGCAGCCATCCCAGATTGATAATGTCAACTCAGTTCTAGCTCCACATATCTACACTTTTTCACACTGCAGCACAAATACATTGATTTTTGTTTACATTTTGATTTAAAACTATCAAAATGAATTAAGTCTAATTGTAGTATGCACATTTAGTTAGCTTTTTTATATTTAATTCTGCCAAATACTTAATTTGTTCTTTCTTTTACTGGTGCTGTGGGGGAGTACCATAAACTGGAAGCAATGGACTCTACTGGCACACTCCAATCCAATACTGAATGGCTGATTGGGTGATACCATCTTGAGGTCAACCATGACGGAAGATCAACCAGTCTGTTCTCCAAATTTTGCATAAGGTCTTTTTGCCCTCGTTATTTGCTTATTTTATTAACATTCTTTAGAAGTTGATTCTGAAGCTGTTTAGTTAATTCTGTGTAGATGTTCCCCTTCCCTGCTCCTCCTCAGTGTATCAATATGGTCTGATCAGCCAGTATTTAACACTCCTTTGTTTGTCCTGTGGTAGGTCATCTTGTTTGTGCAGTTTAGTTTTGTTATATTAAAACCTTGATTTTTAGCTTAAGTTTAGTTTGTTAATTTGACCTCTTTTAAGGGTCCTGTAATGTAGAGATCTGTTAAAACTCATATAAACTAATTTTCTTTAAAAACTGTTTTTGTATCCTCATGCTTTTCGGGCTCGGTTTCCCCGTAAAGTCTTCTGTATTCAGGACTGAGACTAAACTACAACATTAAAGGTAAATTGCACAAGTTTAAAAAGGAAAACATCATTTTTTTTAAATTTCTTTACCATATATGCCCTTACAATTGCCCAGTGTGTATAATGAGCTTTCCTGTATTTAGCAGTTGCCTCTATTAGCTCTGTTAATTGGTTTGTGAGAGACCGATTCAGGTGAATTCTCTTAGTGTGCTTTTGGGAGTGATGTGCTGTACGCCCTCGTTAACCTGGCTACATTGTTGAGTCTTGCAGTTCAGACACTACATACAAAAGTACGAAAATAAAATTTTTGTCTAGTGTAATGGAAAAGGCTAAATTGGGAGTCTTATCAATGACAAAACAAGATGAGAGTAAATATCAAGGCAGCTTTAAACGAGAAGGAAGGTAAGATCTGCCCTTGGAAGGGCCTGTTTTTTTTGCTGAAAAGAAAAAAAACTGAAACATTTATAACATTCCTGCCCCAGATGACAATACACCTCTAAATCATACTGTTGTCATTTCAACTTGAAGCCAGAGGGGGTGAATATCTGTAAACACTATGGGTCTATGAGGAGAAAAGCGTAAACCAACTCTCTGCAAACGAAAGGATGTTACCAAACAATGCATGGACACAATTTCCTCTTTTCCCACCAACTGATTCAAAACCGTCCCTTCAGTCCCCTTGCACATATTTTAATGAGATTTTACAGAGTTGCACTAATCCAGTTGCATTTGAAGGGTCATTAATTGATACTGGTGGGTAGTTTTCAACCAGATGTGATGCTAATAGAGTTTCTTTTCATTTCCCATTTACTCCAAACAATCTAACTTAAAATCTGTGGTTTGATACTTCAGGATCCAGAAACTGTTTAGTCTCTATTTAAAAATGAATATTTAAAATAGATGTAGCCTGTGGATCTTCAGTGGATTTGCCACTGTTGCTTAAAAGTTTAACTGAAACTCTAAAGGAGTGACATCAATCAAGGGTTGAGAAAAGGAATTGGGACAAAGGTTAAACAGAAAGAAAAGATGCAAGAACAAGAAAGAAATGGAAATATATAATGGCATGCTAAGGGGATTGTTGAGATGTGTGGGGTGTTACTGTACCTCTGCTGCCAGTGACTGTGGGGTCTGAGGCATGGGTGCTTAACTTAGCAGTAGGATCTGGAGGGATGGGATGTAGGGGGGGTGTGGTGGATGGAGGCGGGGTGGTGGGGGCGTCTGGTGAAGGGCACGAACAGACATATATACACAAAAAAATACAAAAACAAATTAATACAAACATAATGATGTTCGGGAGACAGGGGACAGTTCAATATTCTTGACATTTCTGGATGTACCTTGAAGCCAGGTCATAGTCATCCCAAAACAAGATTAAAAAAACAATTAATCTTGTTTTGTTTTCTTTTTTATTATATAATCAATTACAGAATTTAACCATTCATCTTTGCACATAAGACCAAGCCCAGTCAAATTGTAGAGGAAGCCTATTACAGTAGCAGCAATTCAAAACGGCCCTTCCCAGTCAAATACCAGCTGCATAGCAGCCCACTTCCCTGCAACTCCCAGCAAAGTCCCCTCCAACTCCCAGCCACTGGAGTCACAAGATGACCAGGAGATGACGCTTCCCTTTAGATCTTAATGTACACAAATCATGACAGAAAGAATATTTTAGTACAAAGATTGATGTTTAAAAATTAATTGTAGGGGACTAGCCAAAGGCCCATCAAGGAAAGTGGGGACATTTCCAATGGCCACTACTGTAAGAACAGTTTAAAACTGTTTCCACAGGTTCTTTTCTCGATTAAGCTCTATTCTAAAACATTAACATGATCTTAATCACCGCTGTCCTGAAGAAAGATGAACCTTTGACTCAGTCTTGAGGCTTATGCTGCTTCTAGCAGGTTCTCTTCCAGAGTTGTCTTTTTTTCCCCTTATTTTGATCAGTTTCCTTTTCCTTTCTAAGAAGAAAAAAACACTCCACACTATATAGCTGCTGCCACCATAAGTCACTTTGGAAACGGTATTTCCAGAGTAACGTACAGTGAACTTCAAATTTTGTGGAATCTGACCAGAGCATCATCTCAAGTCTATTGCTGTGTTCTGAACAGTTTTTTTTTTTTTTTGCAAACAATCATTAAGTTCTCCTTTTTTCTATGAAACATATCTGTTCTGTGAACAAAATACCTTTAAAAGGCAAATAGATACATAACAGACGGTATCTACATTATAGCTTTTTGGTTGTTGCAGGAAATAACCTTCCTGTTTTTACATCTATTTCAGATTCTTGGAACCATGGTCAAAAATTGTCATGTTACTGAAAGGAGGAATTGAAAATGTTACAATGGACCCAAATAACAACTTCCAAATGTTTCTTTAATGAAATATTGAACCATTTGAAAAATATTTAGGAAAATCAGCTTCAAATGTTGAGTTCTAACTGCATGATTATATTTATGTTGTCATTTATACAAAATTATTATACAAATATTTTACAGAATTCATAAAAGTAAATAGATTTAAAAAAAAGGCCAGTTGTAAGATGGAACATTAAATAAACAGCCTGTTTGTTCTTAGTAGGGCCTCTAAGCCTGTATGAGGACATATGTGCTGGTTTGGCACCTGCACATTATTTATATCTGTGTTGAATCTTGTTATTCTAACACAAAACCTGCAACAATGTTACTTTCCTTAATATATAAAATCATTACCACTGAACAATCTAGAGTCAATGTTAGTTGGTAATAATTTTCATTGTCATAATCTTGGCCAGAACAGAACAGAACAGAAATAACCTTGACTTGAATCTGCTAATGCCGCCCAATGTCTCTGAAGACAGAAAGTTAAATTCCACCAAATGAAGACATTACTTTGACAAAAGCTCTGTGCAAATTACACATTTTCAAGGGTGCTTTCAAAAGATATGGTCGGGTCATCATTACCACAGAGTTCATGCTACTTCATGCAAGAAAGTGTTTCTCTCTGTCACCTGCTCAGGCCAAAGAGGAAAAAAGGGACTGAAACATTGTGTGACCAAGTTAATGAGGTTACACTATCGCCTTGGCTTTAATGTTTATGTCACTCTGCATTTTATGGTGAGCCAGGGGCTTTTAATTGGCTGTGGTCGTCTTTCTCAGGGCCAAACGTCCTCTGTGTCTTGGTGACATTTGATCATGACTCACAGAGCAGCTAACTGCATGTCTGCAGGAAATGGGTAGGAGAGAAAGTGTGTCCCTGTTGGAGGGGAACCATTAAAAAGGTATTTTTCAAGAATTATGGAGGCAGTTGTAAAAGGCTAAAAGGTGTGCTAATCACTAATGAAGGGGAGAAACAGACTTGGTGCCATTTCAGGCTAACAAGTAATGAATCTGAATAGGCCTCTTTGACCCTGCTGTACCGAGGAGCCTTTTTTGTGGAGGAAAATTTGTCAATTTAATATCATCTGCGTCATTATGTGCATTGGTTGCTTTAACTGTTAGCTTCAGCTGGCCTTTAAAAGAGCTTTCAGGTGCATACACATAACAATGGTGTTTGAAAAGTGCATTTATTCAACTAGAGTTGCAACATTTAGTCTATTAGTGAAATGAATGAAGGGGCTTTTAGATGTTTAGATATTAGGTAATATACAATTTTTGCACATGATATTAAAGTAGTTTTTAACTTAATTTGCATCTATGTGATCATTTTTATCAATATGATGAGATTTATTCAAAGCTGTCTTTCCTAAATTGGTGGGAAATCTGGTTGTAAAGCCACCCCATTTTTTTCTTTACTTGAGCTCCCATAAAGGAGATGAATTTAGAAAAAGGTCAAAAGTATCATCAGCAATAGATGATCTGTAAAATCAGCCAAGGTCTGAAAGTGTAAATAGACCACTTAGCTAATTGCACAGTAATATACTTGTAATTATCATTATTACATTTGAAATTATCTATAAAAATTATATAGCATTTACACAAATTGTTAATTTTTATGCTTTCAATTAATGGAGGTTACAGCTAGAATCATTGGAAAGTAGCTGTATAATATGACTGAATATCTTTTTTTTATGTAAGTAAATGACATAACAGTCTGTCATTAACTACCTCTTTTTGCTCAGATCATGTTTACAGCTGATGACACACTTAACAAATTGTACAGTATAATATACTGGAGAACATATCAACATACTAGTTTCTGCTGATTTTTATTTATTGATTTAATTTTTTTAAATGAAAAACTGAGGGTCACCCACAAACTGGGCCTTCTGAGTGGTCTCAGTCTACAAGATGATTAAGCCAAGCAAAGCCAACTGTTTGGTATGAGATAACTTTTGCAATATTTTGTTTGAAATGCAACATATAAATAAACAATAATAATAGCTAAAAAGTTTATTCAAATCAGATTTTTTTTTTCAGTCATAAATGCAGATGATACTTTAAAACTGACCAAAGGAAAGACTATCTAAATTTACATGAAATTTACAAAGACTTAAAATTTGAAAAAACAAACAAACAAACAGTTTGTCAGTATGAAGAGCCCTTTCATTCAAAATTAAATGAAAAAAATAAATAAATAAATACTGGTATTGATAGATTTTCAATATATATTCCATTAAATAAATACATATCCCCATGAAATAAAACAGAAAAACTATGTAAAAATATTTTTACAGTATTTAATTGAATTTCAAGATTTCTTTTTATTTATGCATTATTAAGTAACTGATTTACTTAATTTTGAATGAAACAGTTTTCCATAGTAAGACATAGAATCTTGAAGTGAGGATTTTTATTTTCTTTTTTTTGTATTGCTTCCCTTTTCACCCAGTACTTAGACAAAAATAACTGAACAAACAAACAGATTTTTTTAAACATTTTTTTCCTGAAAATAAAAAGGCTTGTAGTTAAGTATGTGTAACACTATTGGAAATAATACACCAACAATAATGTTACCTGTTATCAATCTTCTAAAAGATGCTTTCTTTCCTTTTTGTCAATCATTACAAGCTATCTTAAATCTCCAAAGCTCAAGTGTCACTGCTCTGCTTGTTCTCTTTGTATCTTTTATTACTTTATATCAAGAGACAAATAGCAGAGCAGGAACGGAAGAGAGAAAGAACTATCTGTTTTCCATGACAGTGAGTCGCTTTATCCTCCACCTCCTCTGGCGTTACCACGAATTACTTATCATGATATTCTTGACAACGCAGCACTAAATTCTGCCTCCCTCATACATTTCCCTCTGGGTGTGTGTGTGTGTGTGTGTATGACGCTGTGGAGGATCTGGGACAAAGGTTTATTTAAGGAAAGGCACTGGTGGTGTTTGTGGCACCTGAGGCCCATATTTCCCTTCTGAAAGATAGCATCCTTAATCACTTTTTGGAGTTATACAGTATTCAGATCAGGAGGTATCAGGAGGCTGTTTATGCAACATTTTTTCCACTATGTATATGGATACAGAATCAAAAATGTCCTTTTCATCTTTCTTGGTTACTTTAACACATTTGTTTTTTTAAATGGGTGAAAATTATCCAATATTTACTTTATAAAGATAACTCTTTATGTTTACCTTCGTCAGTGATTAAAACAAACACAATCACCTGCATATGAACCTTTAATTTCAACTCACCGTAAACATAGAGTACATATTCGGCGCTGCTGGTCCCCAGGTGGTTGGTGGCTTCACAGCGGTAGGTGCCATTGTCTGTCTTGTTGAGTGAAGTAAAGGTGAGCTCCCTCCCCTCAACAGTTACTCTATCAAGGTCAGGAAGCTCACCACCGTCCTTCGTCCACATCACAGGATCAGGTCTGTTATATAAGAATTTGTTTGGAAAAGGTCAAACTCAAAACTGGAATGCATGTTGAATATTATGGAACAGACTAAGCTCAAACTATGCAGAATGAAATCGACTTACGATGGGTTTCCTCTGGAGACACATTCCAGCTTTAATTTCTGGCCTTCCTGTGGGACAGCAGGAGATCTGATGATCTCCACACGGGGAGCATCTAGGATACACAAGAGATTTTCAACTGATGGTTAGCAGTAATGTAAGTCTTTAATATCGATAGAACCATCTTTTTACGAAATTATGCGAAAACTAACATAAAAAAGGAAGTAGAAATGTTATCCTCTCATTCAGATGGGTTATTTTCATTTTAGAAGAATTTTAAACCAGACAGAGGTTCTAATGCCTTTTATGACAAATAGCACCTTTATAAGTACCAATATTGAAAATCCATTAATTTAACATACATATCATAACAGAACTTGGACTTTTTCTGCAAATAAAACAACAAAGAAGAAAAAAAAATAAGTACATTTTGACTTTTTACTGTTTATATGATTATATCTTTCACACAAACAGTAATGTACTTTACAACCTGAAAATGTAGTGAAAACATTATGAATTTCTATTGCAAGGCCTAGTGAGCTTCATCATTCAGAAGATCATTTTGCAAATGATGTTTTCTGAGTTTTTTTACCAGAGCATGGTTAAGTTGGATTTGATGCCAACGTCTTATTAATGTTTCCCCTCCAGGATTAAACACAGTAATTCATTCTTATTTGCAGAATTCATATTATAATCTCTAATAAGTTTAACCTTGCTGAAGATTTAGGGCCATATTTGTTCTTTAAGCCTTAGTATTTCTATCCCATCTATTCTGATAGTTAAATAATGTTTTTTTCCTGTTTCCGTTCGTTAGATATTATGTAATTATTGTTTACGAATGGAGATTTCTCATTGAATACTACTAAGGCAAAACCTTCCAAAGAAATCTAACAAAATTAATGGTAAAATATGCATTGTCTAACTTCATAAATGTAGTCATTAATTAACCGATTTCATGAGAATATTGCGCATTAATCAGCTGTTTTTCCCTCTCTCGGAAGCGATCTCCCCTCCGCTCTGGAGCAGCAGGACTCTGCCTGTCTGTCTCCATGAGAAATCCCTGATGACATTTGAGCCTACTGTAGGTAACTGGTGACAAAATGGAGCCCTGATTGGATAACATGCCAAAATACGTCACTTCCGGCGAGGCTAAACCTCTTGGTCTATGGGGGTCTATGGAGCAAAGGCGGGTCGACGCCGATTGGCAAACTTACTTAAGAATTTTTGGAGTTAAAGCATCTGAGCTATCTTGGGAAATATCTGCTACTGAATGAGGAATGTAAGAAATAATTTTTGATAGAGATGTTTTCAGCAGAACCTGAATGTACCTGTATGTTTCTGATCTCCTGTGTAAACTGGCAAAATGAAGGCTTGCATCGAATATTTTTTATTTCTTATATTGTGTATGATTGTGGCTTAATTTAGCATATAAACTTGAACTACTTAATTTCTATGTTTGTGAATGTAGTTCATTTTTGAAAAAGTAAATGTGAGCTAGGTCATTTTCATCTGTGTGAACTGAACTTTGAGTTAGTTCTTGTTAAGTATGATGTATATGTATATGTATATATATATATATATATATATATATATATATATATATATATATATATATATATATTTAAATATATATATATATATATATATATATATATATATATATATATATATATATATATATATTAAAATATATATATATATATATATATATATATATATATATATATATATATATATATATATATATATATATATATATATATATATATATATATATATATATATATGTCTATATATATATATATATATATATATTTAAATATATATATAAACAAGTCTTAGCTTTCCTCATCCATAAACACCGAAATCTGTGCTACTTAAAACCTTTGTACCTATTTTCATTTCCATTTATTCCCATGAGAACCTTTTTTTTCATATTGGACGTATACTCACAATGGACCTCCAGCACTTCGGTGGCCTGCTGAGGTGCCTGTGCGAGAGCAACATGGTCCACTCTGCACGTGTAGGCAACACCATCATCATTTCTGTCCACATGTAGTTGCAGAGAACTCTGAACTGTAAACGTCTTTCCGCTTGCATTCACCTCCTTGGCGCCTTTAAAGAAAACACAATAAAAATGTTTATGTTTAAATCAACTTTAAATCCTATAAAAGTGGCCATAATATTTAAATAGTATCAAGATCCTTATGAGCGTTCTGCACATTGATGTTTTGGGGTGTGCTTTCTCACTAAAAAACACATTAAAACTATTTATTCCAACCTATCAAAGCAGAGAAAGCCAAGTCCTTCTGTCGCTAGTAAGGAAAAGAACAGAGCACCTTAACATCGAGCGTCCATAGCATCCAGAGTGCTTGAATTTTAAATGCACAAGTGTTAAAGTTGTGAGCCTTTTTGAGACTTAAAACAGGTTTTAGAATCAGAACTCTCTCAGACATTCTGCTGCCCAGTCTTCATCACCTTTCTCCAGCTCTAACAAATCTTAGATTTTCTGTTCTTGTAACATACATCAGTGAGGATAATTGTTATGCATACATTAGAGGTTTGTCTTAACACCGACATATGTTATTTATCTAATATGCAATTTAATATCAGTTAGTTCAGCTTTACTATTTTTCATCTGCATTATATCAAGCACTTTTGGGATGTTTCTTATCAGAAAATCACTAGTGAAATAAATGTTACATAAAAGATAGAAGCATGAAATTCAGGCAGAGAAAGATCAAATGCTTTACTGAACATTGAGTTATGTATCTGCATTGGCATGGACACTTACCACTGTGAGGCAATGGCAACAGGGTCAACAGCAACCATTCCCCTATGAGGGGACAATTTGTCAGCTACATACTCTTAAATAAAAATTTCCATGAAACGCAATATAGACTTGAAGCAATAGACTTTTTGACTACATGCATTCTCACTTGCATCTCTATATCTGCATCCTGGTGCATCATTCTCACATAAATCTTAACATTTTATTATGCTTAATGTCTTTCCACTTCTTCAAACTCTGTATGCAACCTCTAAGTCAAGTCCAGCTGTGACAAAAAAATGTTGTTGCTAGTCAGATGTCTGACTTGCCAGTGAGGTATCATTACACTAATTTATCTAGTCAACTTATTTTTATAGCAATCATGGCAACACCTGCTTGTGATTCTGTAGCAAAAGTGCTGATCCACATTTCTGTGGCCATTAGCATCGCAATCAACCAGCTTCTTCAAATGATCTACACAATTTTTTCAAGTTTGGTTTGTTTGGAATCAATCAGTCAACTTTCTGCCTTGTATTACAGTCTATTATATAGTGAGAAAGTGTAACAAATAATGTATTTTGATCAGAATTTTTTTTATAAGTTGAAGTTTTACAGTATTTCTCCCTGGAAATTCAAAGTTGGAGAAGAACTTGAAACGTATCAGTCCTCCTATATGTATGCAGTGCATTCTATTGAGTTTTTTTTAGACACCCACCTAAGACATAGTCATTCTTCAAAACTCTGATGTAGATAAAACACATTATTAGTATTTCTTTGTTTTACAACAAGTCGCCTAAGTAATTGTGACAGACTAAAGTGACTTAAAAAGAAACTTAGTGCTCAAGAAGAGAGATGGCAATATTTGGCATTATTATGTTTCATCAAACCATTTGTCTTCTAATGCTCCTCTGTCAGGGTCGGGGGGGCTGTTGCCTTCCCCAGGAGGGGGAAAATATGGGCTACACCCTAGACTGGTTGTCCCTCAATCTCAGGTTAACACGGAGAACTAGCTCAATGCACACACCAATTATTAGAGCCACCAATTAATCAAAGAGTCACATTTTGGGACTTCAGGAGGAAGACAGTTAAAGATTAATAAATAAATCATAATGGAACTCTAATGTCTAAAGTGATTTTTTAGTAGGGGTGTAATATACAGGTGCTGGTCATAAAATTAGAATATCATGAAAAAGTAGATTGATTTCAGTAATTCCATTTAAAAAGTGAAACTTGTATATTATATTCATACATTACATACAAACTCATATATTTCAGATGTTTATTTTGTTTAATTTTGATGATTACAAATGACAACAAATGAAAATCTCAAATTCATCATATCAGAAAATTAGAATATTACTGAAGACCAATAAAAACAAAGGATTTATAGAAATGTTGGCCAACTGAAAAGTATGAACATGAAAAGTATGAGCATGTACAGCACTCAGTATTTAGTTGGGCCTCCTTTGGCCTGTATTACTGCAGCAATGCGGCGTGGCATGGAGTCGATCAGTCTGTGGCACTGCTCAGGTGTTATGATAGCCCAGGTTGCTCTAATAGTGGCTTTTAGCTCTTCTGAATTGTTGGGTCTGGTGTATTGCATCTTCTTCTTCTTCACAATACCCCATAGATTTTCTATGGGGTTAAGGTCAGGAGAGTTTGCTGGCCAATTAAGAACAGGGATACCATGGTCCTTCAACCAGGTACTGGTAGCTTTGGCACTGTGTGCAGGTGCCAAGTCCTGTTGGAAAATGAAATCTGCATCTCCAAAAAGTTGGTCAGCTGCAGGAAGCATGAAGTGCTCTAAAACTTCCTGGTATGTGGCTGCGTTGACCCTGGACCTCAGAAAACACAATGGACCAACACCAGCAGATGACATGGCACCCCAAACCATCACTGACTGTGGAAACTTTACACTGGACTTCAAGCAACGTGGATGAAGTGCCTCTCTTCTTTTCCTCCAGACTCTGGGACCTTGATTTCCAAAGGAAATGCAAAATTTACTTTCATCAGAGAACATGACTTTGGACCACTCACCAGCAGTCCAGTCCTGTTTCTCTTTAGCCCAGGCAAGACGCTTCTGACGCTGTCTGTGGTTCAAGAGTGGCTTGACACAAGGAATGCGACAGCAGAAACCCATGACTTTCATACGTCTGTGTGTGGTGGTTCTTGAAGCACTCACTCCAGCTGCAGTCCACTCTTTGTGAATCTCCCCCACATTTTTGAATGGGTTTTGTTTCACAATCCTCTCCAGGGTGCGGTTATCTCTCTTGCTTGTACACTTTTTTCGACCACATCTTTTCCTTCCCTTCGCCTCTCTATTAATGTGCTTGGACACTGAGCTCTGTGAACAGCCAGCCTCTTTAGCGATGACCTTTTGTGTCTTGCCCTCCTTGTGCAAGGTGTCGATGGTCGTCTTTTGGACAACTGTCAAGTCAGCAGTCTTCCCCATGATTGTGTAGCCTATAGAACTAGACTGAAAGACCATTTAAAGGCTTTTGCAGGTGGTTTGAGTTAATTAGCTGATTAGAGTGTGGCACCAGGGGCCATCAATTTTGAACCTTTTCACAATATTCTAATTTTCTGATATGATGAATTTGAGATTTTCATTTGTTGTCATTTGTAATCATCAAAATTAAACAAAATAAACATCTGAAATATATGAGTTTGTATGTAATGTATGAATATAATATACAAGTTTCACTTTTTAAATGGAATTACTGAAATCAATCTACTTTTTCATGATATTCTAATTTTATGACCAGCACCTGTAATCTAATGAGACTGGATCTTGTAATATTGAAAAGCAATGAATTATTTTCCAGTTACTGTAAAAAAAAATATGTCTAATTTATTAGAATCCCATATCTGAAAAAAGTAAATACTTTTGGCTAAACCTATTTTTCCTCTGAGATGCTCATTTATAGGTAATAAAAATATATTCTTTCCACACACTGCAATCTTTGTTTGTTCCATTAATAGTTAAAAAGCAGCTTTTGAACAGTTTTATGTTTTCTCTTCTCACATTTCAAACACCAGTGGGCTCTTAAATCATTTTCTTTTATGATTTTAAACCTTTATGCTTTCTTAATGGAAATGAGATGAGTAAAGTCACAATAAGAGGATGCTTCAGCTGCTTTGTCATTTACAGTGCTAAATGTACAAACACCTCTCTGCTGTGTCTATGTGGTGTCCTGTCAAAAACCTCCTGGGGATTGATCACCAAACGTGTGTCTTTGGTCTCAATAAGACGTTGCAGTAAACAGGGTTTTACAGCATTGTTAGCTTAAAACCTCTGGGGAGACACATTTTGGCAATGGAGCATCGTCAGATAAAGTCTGTGAAAAACAGAGCTTTAAATAATCATGGACGTAATTCCCTCCTTTGTTACTTGGCCCAGACTCTCTCAGCGCCCTCACTGTAGTTTTAAACCATTGGTGTCCAAACTACATCAGTCACAATAGCCATGCTCTGAGTACTGGAGGACCATTTGTCTCTTATAGTAAAAAATAATAATTTTTGTGGATTTTAATAACTACCCATACCTGGCAAAACATTTTTTTCAAAGCCAATCCAATAACTAATACAAGGACTTTTAAAAACAAACAAAACAAAAATACCATACAGTTTTGTTCAGGTTAATAGTACACCCCTTTTAAAGCACACAATCAAAGTAAATCATGAGTCTTTTTTTCCCCTTTTCTTTATGTTCTGTTCAGCATTATGGCAGCAGAACTGAAATCTAGTATCATGCTATACTGAACAAATTTGCTTAGCCAATGGAGGCTATGTTGTTGAGAAGCCCCCTCTTTCAAGTTCTTTTACAAGATAGTAATAACTCATACCCAGTTAGTAGCTAGTTTATTGTATTTTCCTCTAATGCTAAATAAAGTAATGATCAAAATTTAGGTGGGGTTTACTGAAGGTATGATTATTTTCTAGCATTTTAAGTCTGAAAAAGACAGTTTATCTTTCAAACATTGATTAAAAATGCATGTTTAGACAAATGACCTAGCACCTATAATCTGGTTTATAACCCCCACCTAAAATTTGGTACATCACAATTACAGAGAGTAGATATAAAAGAAAATAAGGAAAAGTAAAGAAATGATGTATTTACTCTGTTTGTCATGATGACCACTTGTTTGTGCCTCCTAAGGAGACCAATTACGCTCTGCATCCTTCCCCTGCTCTGCTTAACTGCTCCACTATCCCAGCATCCCTGCTTACTGTCTATTCTACCTCTAAATTCTGCCAATCAACTATTCTATTCAGCCACTTTCACCAACTGAGGCTATGAGAATGGCTCCCTGAGAGATGAATGACTGACAGGTCTGCAGTTATC